ATGCTCAGGGCGCTTGATATGTGGACTAGGAACTCGATCAATGACTTTCTTCGCCCCTAAGGGTCCCTTCGTGTCTGCTACCCGGTAACCCGGTACCAGCAACTCTCGTCATCCACTACATTGGCTGTCTATTCCAGTACACTGGGATATCCCCCTTCTCATCTCGATGGATGTACTGGGTTCTTTATAGTGCACACTATTTGTTAGGTATTTTCTAACATTCAAATGAATTTTTAGCTAGTGCATTTCGCTATTATGTTTCTTAATATTTGAATAGAACATTTTTTATTCCAGCCAACCGAAATTTGTGTAATCTGATTTGCTAAATATTTTGTATGTTAACAGCATGATTTTCAAACTTGCTTCCCTAATAACCATTCATTTGACACTAATAATATGATATCTACAAACTTAAATAGAAAATAGAATTGAACGCTATATATTTCATGTTCACATGTAGTGTAAATTTATATCATTTTTTTTAACTTAGTTATTTTTGGACATTTTCTGTGAAATCTCAGTTAAATTTTGCCAGTGGTCATGTTGAGCGTGACAATGTAGGGCGAACATTATTCTTATCAATATCTGATATGCGAACTAGATATGTTAGATTAGGTATAAGCTATTCACTGATTAGCACTTGTGAGGGTAACAGAAAAAAAAAATCCTCATACGAGGACTCTTCGGAGGCATGATCATCCAGCGTGCTACTGTCTCTTATACACATCTAGATGTGTATAAGAGACAGATATAGTCCTGCTTTCTGTTTCAGAGTTAATAATGTTATCAGTAATACCAGATAACATGCCATACCTATTTGTGCTTGAGTAATCTAAGAACCTAAATATAATGCATGAAATTTTATATCTACAGACATTAAATCTATCAGGATACAGCACACCACATGATGTATTACAATAAACCATTAGAGATTATACCAGCTAGCAGTGACATACACATTTAAACTATCCATCAAGAACTTATGAATAATTTATGTTCTATAGTGACATAACCATTTGACCTCCATTGCCATTAATACAATCTCTGTGTCTACTGCCCCCAACGGGGGCATAGACACTATGTCATGATGCAGCAATTGAAAATGGTGGAAAATCCGGTTAAAATAGCGTTCGGAACTCGAACACGCATTATAGAGATGCAGCATGCGTTTGCCACGAACGCCTTTTACCGTTATTTGAAGGACGCCCTCTAGAACATGGTACAGTACCGGTCATAAATAATGCAAATTTTTAGCAATGTTATGTTAATGTTGAAAGAAATCCTAATGCTTATGATATCTCAATTAGGCCTATTTAAAATGATTGACGGTACTCTTAGGCCTACTCTATTTTGTTATGTTCGTAAATTTTCGTTGCTGTTAATTAAAGATTTTTAAGAATATCAATCAATCAATGGATTTAAAAGGCGTATACCAATACAGCTGTCTGGTGAATAATAATAGTCATATAAAATAATCGAAGCAATGTGGTGTATTATGACTGTATTCATGATTATGTAATAAAATATAATTTTCGATTGAACTATAATGAGAATTGCGAGATACACAATACTGATCCACCACTGTGCTTCACTAGTTTTTGCCATTACTATACTGTATAAGGTATACAAGAAGTATTAAAGTGTTGGGCGTCACCAGAACAACGGGCTACAGTAGGGTGTGACTGATCGTCAGATTCGGTGCACGACTTGTTGCACTATTGTTGTTATTGATTTTAATTGGGGGCATGTAAAAAGCAGATTCGGTGCATAATGATGTACAAAAGAAAAGTAAAGCAACAGTACAAGATTCTTTTATTGTCCCGTTGTAACGAAAAAGTAAAATTCGTCTCCTGATACAAAATAAGTAAAAAATTACTAGTATAGACAAAATAATCGACGGACATATAATACAGAATATAAAATTATTGACAAGAGTTAGTGTATTATTAAAATCAGCACTGTACATATGAATTGGGGGGGGGGGGGGCCCAGGATTACAATTGGCAACTGTATTAGCAGGATTTGCAGAGGAAATCACCGACAAGAGACTTAAGTTTCAAGCGACCCGGTTGTGCTATTATTACCTAAAAGATAACAGGTTTTTGTTAAACTGAGACAGTCACCATTGGCAACGGAATTTTGGCTGTGCATGTCTGCATTGAAGAACATAAGATAATTTTTAAAAAAACTCCTGTATAAGACAATAGACACACGCTCCCGCTGGGAGCCTTTTTTTTTTCAAACAAATTTCTCCAACATATACTAATGTGACTAATATACTAGTTGTTTGATAAAATCCTATTGTCATGGAACATATTGTTCCCACTGGCAGATTAAAAAAAAAAAAAAATTGATATTTCAGGAAAACAGTTGGATAAAATAAAGGTAATTGACCAGATAATGTCATAAATTTTTTTAAACTGACGCATCCACAACTGCAATTACTGCTGCTACTGTATACCATAGATTTACGAATTATAATTACCGTATATTGCATGATATCACTTATGTGAGTAATGCAGCGACTATAACATACCTGCTTTTTGTCTTATACATCCATATTTACTAATGATCCATCTATCAAATCCTAGACATACCAACCATCTGTCACACACAGGAATATTTATTTATCCGTTATCCTACAGGATACGTCAAATCTGTTACGCTACATCATTTTAGCGCTGCCAAATTACTCGTATTTTAATGTTCTATCGGGGAACTCTGGGAATCTAATGAGCGAATGGGCACAATCCGTGCATAATGTATTTGTATATTTATTTACCATCTACTTGCTATGTAAATTTTTTAATTGATTCAAATTATTTCACCATCAGAAGTATTAAGTCACATGGTAATAAATTTTTATAGAAAAAAGTGTAGCAAAATACAGAAAATAAGTCTTCAAGTACTTGGTCTTACACTGTACATGTTTTAAGCATATTTTTTCCTTGAAATGTCCTAACAAAATTCAAAGAATCTATCCATTGAAAGGTCAAACTATAAAATGCATACATTTATTGATCATATTTATCATTTAAAATGTAATGAACAGCCTTGATCTTTAGCAAAAAGTAATTTTGAATGTAAGATGATGTCTGCTTGCAGACGTGTGTCCCTGGTGAAATTACGACTTTATTTTTAAAAATTAAAATGTTTTTATATGAGAAACCAACTGAACCTCCAAATTATTAACATTTCCATATTTTTTCTAATATATGCCTGGATAAGAAGGAGGCAGGGAAAATTTACTATATATAATAACCTTTAAAAATTGTCAATCAAAACTAATCTAATATCATATATCTCAAAGGACCTTAGGTTAATAATCGTTTCTCTTCACCATTTTAATTTGTGTAAAGTAGAAGGTACTGTCTTAAACAGTCAACTTTTTTAAATGTTATTGACATTGATTTGTTTATTCATTTATTGCATATTGTTCTATTTCTGATTGCTCTTAGCTTTTTTCTTCTTTGTAAGGGCCTTGAGTATAAAGTACTCCGCTTTTATAAACGCCCCTTTTCAAAATTGTAAAATATATTTGTACTGTGTATTGGAAAAAATAGAATTGCAGAACAAAAAAAAATTCATACACATAATGATAGGGATGAGTAGTGTTCACTTCTCTCCCTTTACTTGTACTTCAGAAATCATTCTAGCTACTGAGGCTAGTCAATTGCTGAGACATGCTTAGTGAAAGTTGAACCAAAACAGTACATGGAGGGTAAATACGGTGCCACTAAAGCAACAGAGCTAACGGCATATCAGCCAATCTTGGTAGATCCTATTGTTTCACATGCTGGTTAATATAATATTAGCAGTGGATATTGATTTGCCTTTGACTAAAACTCTATTCTATTCCTATTAAACTGTCAAAAGCGAATACACATTTAATACAAAATATAAAAAAAAAAAGAAAAAAGAATTGACACAATAATTTCATTGTTTTCCTCACCTGCTGAACAGTGACCTGTTCCACACCTGGGTGAATTTCTTGAACCTCCGACACCTGCATGTCGCCTTCTGACGTCATGTGAACTATCTGGTGTTCCTGCACGGATTCATCCACTACCTCCTGCACGTTGGCATGTTCTGAATCCAGAGTTTCCACCTGCATCTCTACTTGCTCAACCACATGCAGACTGTCCATCTTGTCGCCAAGCGATCACTATGGTAACAGACCTAAGATGGGGAAAAAGAAAGTAAATGGCAATTAACAATTTGTGTGACTGAATCAAGATATATGCTGGGATTAGTTCCAATATAAATACAATAATCAAATTTTACATCAATTGTAAAAATAGAGTGTGTCTGATCAAGCTGATGAAAAATAAAAAGAATTTTAAAAAATAATAATTTTAAAGTCCTGGACTCCGGAGGGAAAAAAAATGTTGATATGTTTTAGAACTGATTTTTCTAAGACAGAAAAAAGTTGTTTGACGAAAAACTGGGTAACGGTAACGAGATACCCCCAGTTTTTAAATATTAAAAAATCTGTATCTCATTCACCATTGCTGAGTTTTTGATCAAACTACTTTTTTCTGTCTTAGAAAAATTAGTTCTACAACATATCAAACAATTTTTTTTTCTCTGGAGCCTGACTTTAATTAACATGATAGATGTTTAAAATATAATTGTAAGAAAAATAACATAAAACAAAATCTACCAAAATGTTTCCATAACTATCAAGGTGTAGTGCACTTGGCAAATTCCATAAATTATGTTATACAAGCCTGTTGTGTCTAATGAATTGTTTTCATACCATATTCTCCTAATGTAATATGACACAGCAAAAAAAAAAAAAAAAGTCCAAAAAAAATATTTCTAATACCATTTTGAAATTTTAATGTAATTCTTAAGTATTGACACATTAAATGGGCCCTCAGAAAAAAATACGACACTTTAAAGATAATTTTCAGTTTTAAATAATATTAAACACTTTAAAAAACAAATGAAGTTTTCAGCAAATATCATTTGCTACCATTTACATCACCTTCCAATAAGAATTCCTTACAATCATTCATGGTCTTTTCACATCTAGTTAATAATTATTTTCATTGCAAAAAAAAAAGGGGGAGGGGGAGAAATCATTAGAATTGTTGTGCCCCTATTACAGCAAATGCTAAATGAAGATTACTATAGGGAGTGCAATTGTTTCAGTCATGAAAAAATCCTGTGTCCCCAAAATGTTAAGCCAGGACCCTGGAACTGGAGGCCAGCATTTTAACACAAAAAATAACTCCACTCCAAAGTAGTGAAGCAGGCCAGAGGCCTGTCTTAATGAAAGTTTCAAAGATCTTCTCATTGTCTGCTATTTTCAGAATATTCAAATACCTATTGTTGCATGACCTAAGATTTCTACAAAGGTCACAGCCGTCCTAATGACTTGCATGCAACAACAACAACATGCAACTTAATTTGAAGTCTATTCCTGTATTCAAATGTCATATGTCTTCATGTGGTATGTTTTCTATCAAGTTGAAAATACATGCTTCCCTTCATTATTGGCTTGATTATTTTATGCATAAAAAAAAACCCCTTGGAACATTTCATGGGAAATTTTATGTATGCCACTGAACAAATTCAAAATAAAATTTATAATAACATGTTTTTTTTTAAGTGAAACAATTGAAACATTGGGAAATGAGCAACAATCATACACGTACAGTACAGACATTACAAAGTCAGGGTCATTACCACTTTCAATTGCACTTGTTAAACTTTCCTATCAACAATTTTCCTCATATAAATGAAGTCTGTTCTGATACAACCAAGTTGCCATAAGGTGATCCTACGGTAGCTACAGTATGATCTAGTGCATGGATAAAGCATTCAGCCAGGACGTGTTTCTGGACTAAACGGTTCCAAGGCAATTGCATGCAGTTGATCAAGAGTACAGTATAACAAAATGAAAATACAGCGCCAGAAAACTAACTCTCCCATCCCTCAGCATTTTAAGACCAGTTTCGTTTTTTATCTATGCAAGTCTCCTATTCTACGCACATTTTTCCAAACTGATGGGTTGAATGCATGTTTGAGCTTTAACTTTTTAGGGTAAAAAATGAATCATTCTGCACAGTGTTACAGTGCTAACTAGCGTAACACGGCTATTCTCGCCACTCTTGCGAGTCCATATATCATTGGCGAACAAGTTACATCTTTTTCCAAACATTTATGGACACATGAAAAAGACACTTTCTTAACATTCCAATGTTCTGATCAACATTTAATAACCGCCATTAATGGAAAAAAAAGCCAGGTACCTAAAACAACTAGATTATGCTATCACAACGACGATGTAATTTCAACCAATTTGTATTCATCAATTGCGATTGTATTTCAAATAAAATTTGCAAAATACAATCAGAATGCCAAATAGCGTTTGTACATAATTTATTTCCCTCAAGAAACAGGTTGACACGTGAATTGCATGAAAGCAATCATGCTTTATAATTACCTACACATTATGACAATGGCTTTCACAAAACAGCTCAGACATTAAGATGTCAAATCATCGGATTCAAAGAGTATCTGAGGATTATGTGTCTGTTTAGTCTGCATTTCTTTGTTCTTTAAATACTGTCTGCTTTGAGGTAAAAGACTTTTCAAAATAAATTAAATTCTGAATTGCTTATTTTGGACTTTAAATTTAGTTACAAGATTTCAGGCTCTGAAAATCAGAAAAAAAAATCCTCATAAACATAATACTATCTATATTTTTTGCATAGACACTTTAACAATGAAAACTTAATATTTTTGCAAACATTATAATTGACCGATAAGGATTTTCTTACAGTATTCTGAAATGTTAGTAAAAACTAAATAACTTTTATCTGCAGAGCTCATAGTTTTTACAAGTGATACTGTACATCACCATCTACTTTTGGGAAGCCAGTCTCTATCTTTTTTTCTCCTTAAATAATGTATCTTTTAATGTACATTTATGAAACATGAAATGAAATATAAATTTAATTTACAGTTCCAAGTAAAATAATTCAAAATTTAATACAGTTCTATACAAATTCCCAGATACTTAAAAACAAATTAAAAAGTTCACAATTGCCTTGTATTGTAAGTCAGTCTATTCAAATAAATTGAACACTTCAGTAGATGAATTATGAAAAAAATGTGAACTGAAATTTCTGAAATGAATGTTTATCTCCAAAAAGATGATAGCATTTTAATAAGTAAGTTTAAAAACAATTTGCTTTATTATATACAGTATGATCAAATCAGTAAAAATTATTAGCAAATTATCAAGATTATAGATGTGAAAATTATCCAATTATTTTAAAGTTTAAAATTTCATTGCCATTTATTTTTAAACAAATGTGAGCCATCAATATTATAACTTCCCTGGATGGACTATGCGTAATTTGAATACATGGCTGGCAGCCAATCAGACAGTCTAATGTGAGCAAAGCAACCAGCAATTCTAATTGGATGCCATTGGAGAATGGCGTCAGCTGAATAACAGCAAGCTTTCACCCTTTGACCCCATGAACCTTGTCCTACATCAACAACGTATCATGCATGCATTTAAAATGTGGATTGATACTGGAGATAATTTGTATGCATAACACAATTACTGATAGTTTTTATAGAACAATTTAAGTATTACATACCGAGACAAAGAAAAATAAAAACGATGATTGACGCTTGCCTGAGAACAGACTAGAAGTCTGCTGTCAGCAAGATCACATCTGAAGAAAAACAAGGTCCAGTTATATATCTTTTTCATTTTATACTCACCATCGCATTCAATTATTTGATAATTCTATCATTTTAATACACTATCTTCAAAACATGTTTTTGCATTTTGGATTCTTAGAATCCATTATCCCTTGACAAAGATACACTGCCATATTATTAATCTAATAGTAATAAACATCAACAGTATAAATTGAAATCTTTACTTTGTACATTTTGAATAATTCACTTTTAACTAAAATTTTAAAAAAATTGTTGTTCAACCATAATTTTATTCACATCTCAATAAGCCTACTATAAAATATACAGAGCAACCTTGAATAATATAATTGAACTACTAAAGGGGGTTGAGTTTATAATTTGCTGTGTTAACTATTACTCATCATATGTATCAAGTAAATAAAAAAAACAATTAAGATTTTGCATTGTAGTTTGTACACCTTCTTAAGCTACTACAGTATATGATATTTAGCAAAATCACTTGTCTTGAATTTATACAGTACTGTAGTATGTTAATCACCCTACTCGTAATTAAATATTATGTCTTCTGCAAAAATATTCTGACATGGTTCAATTATTATTATTATTATTAACTTATTATTATTTTAACTTTCAGAAATTTGGCAAGGACTTTTTTCTTAATCAATCTTTTTAATCTGAAGTTACAACTTACTGTACTTAAATAAATTAAGCAATTCAAAGGCGAAATTAAAATTTCAATTTGCTTTCCTGACTAACATCTTTTAATGGCATTACATGTCTTGAGCATTAAAAAATTCTATTAAACTACATACTTTGACTTTTACTTACAAATTATAGTATAAACAAAAATTCATTTTCAAAAAACAAAATGCATGCAATTCTATTTTTAGGCAGACCCTCAAGTTGGCAAATCAATTTTCATAATAAATTAAAAGTTTGTATTATCATTGAAAACTCACAAGAAGTTAATAACTTAATTGATTATTTTTAATGACTTCTTCAATAAACATTTTTTTTCTATATTTGATGATATGTAACAACAATCCTTAGGCTTTCTAATAGTTTTTTTTTTCTATCAAAACTATTATTGAAAATTATCAACTCTCAAAAGCTACACAAATTGATACTGTACTAATTTTTGAATTGGGATAAGAAATAATATTGTAGAAAGAAAAAAATTATCTGGTTTCATACGCAAGCAATCTATAACAACATAAATTAATGTTTTAACTCTTAAAACTAAACTATCAAATTCCTAACTCTTCTATCCAATGATCAAAACAGATGGTTACACTGTAAGGCCAAATAAAAAAAAAAACTAGTTTCTCGTTCCCTCATGCATCCATTTTCTCTGCCTCATCAATTTTTTCCCCTTTATTTTATGAAATATACGAAAACCTGGCTGAATCATGTCTAGAGTTTCTTTTATTTGTTTTCAATGTGTCTAGGCTTACTTCGTAAAAGTCAGAAAGTAGTAGGTGTTTCCCATTGGCCATCTCGGATTTGCCATCTCATAAAAAAAAGCCTTCCTTTTTTTTTTTCAAAATATTAGGACGAGAATCTACTCTTTTTCTTTATTTGGCCTAAAATCACTTTGAATCGATTGGCTTTATATTTTTCAATCATAGTATCATTGCAGATTGTTTGATAAAAACTCCATTGCGTTTCTATATAATAGAAAAGATGAAAGATAATGTTGACTTAATTCTTCTTTAAAATGTATAACTACTTTGAAATACCTACAGTATTAAAAGGACAATAAGAAATGACGAAGTGCTAAGACTTGTAATTTTTCTTCAATAATACAGTAGACTAACGCAACTTAGCAGCATGTACACCTTTATTCATTAAAAATAATAATCTTCTACCTTTATGATGACAATTTCAATTTAATTCATCAAATGTTTATTTTCAAATAAACATTTGATGTAAAATTAGTACAGTTTGCCCTCCAATTCAAGACAACTTTGGGACCTGACAATTTGGGGTGGTCTCAGGGTTTGGTATTCATATAGATGGTTAGCTTTGTGTTTAAAGATTGACAATTGTTAATTGCTTCTTTGAAAAAGTGGTCTCGAAGTGAGGGGTCTCGAATTGGAGGATGCACTGTATATTAATTATGTAAACAATAGATTTAATATTTTATTTATTCCATAATTGTATTTGTTAGTATCTCATTTTCAAAGGTCCACTGATTAATCTCAGATAAGATAGCATAATACATACTCCAAGCATCGAAATACACATGCCCTGACAGAGAAGACGATGAAGTTTAATCAATCCTTCCGACCAGGCAACTTATTCTTTGTTTTTGAAACATACTGTAAATCATGGTTTGTAATACAAAGACTATGCCTACATAAATATCTAAATTACAATGTATTCAGTTCAGTATTCACTACTTATCATTAAATTTAATGAGGGGCAGGAAATGAGTATTTGCATAAATATCTCTAGACCATTGTTTGTTTACACATTAAATAAACAATTTAAAAACAAAAATAATAAGCTGCAAAATCAACAATGTGACTGAAAATCAACCATAATTTCCTCAATGATATATTAGTACATTAAACTTGGGAGAATTAATGAAAATTTAATTATTATTCTCAACTGTAAGTTAAACATGTACAGCTGCATTTTCAAATCTGTTACAAATTAACATAAGAAAAGATATTTTTTAATAGGTCAACCAATAATTTAAAGGGACATCCTTTTGTTGTAGGTCTACAGCACAAAAAAAATTGTTTTTTCCTAGTAACAGACATGAACTTTAATTCTAGGATATTTAATTATTGGGGTTTTTTCCTAACAGTTACTATGAGTGGTAAAGAGAGATTTGAACATGAGTGATTTTACCATAAAGATACTACCATGTAAAAAAAATAATTTAAAAAAACATCAAAAATTAAAGTAAAAACTTTCTCATTATAAATAATCACATCATAAATTAAGCTATCAACTTTATAAACATTTTAATTGAAATCTAACTTATTAAATACAAATTTAATAATCTTTTTCATTTTCTTTGTAATTTTTTTCAAGAATAGATGTTGGTGACAACATACAGTATTTAAGAAACTTAATAACTACAATAATTTAAACTTAAAAAAAGTTAATATACTGTACTATTCAACATACAATTAATTTTAATGTAATAAACATCCAATCCATATGAAGGCAAAATATATTTAATATGTTATTACATCATCCTTGAAATTGATGCTCAATTTGAATCAGAAATTTTAAATATGTTAATAAATATCCATAAAAAAGTATGTTAAATTAACAGCTATTTTCGGTCCTAAATACTAAAGAAATATGAAAATATATATAACAATATTTAGTAAAATTTTCAACTGAACTTTATTTTTTTAATTTACTGAACATAAGAATCTATAATTAAAATGAATAAAACTAAATTTGTTTGTTTCATTCTTATTCATTGCAAAAGGTAACTGTCTTAATTTGAAAACAAAAATTAAAATAGAAAAAAAGCATTGAATTTCAAGGAATTTACTACTCACATAGAAATTCGGATATTGCAATATCCCATGTTGAAAACCTACAGTATCTTTGGAAGGGGATCATTACCAATCATTCATGTTTTAACAGAGTAGCATACCCCAACAACACAATATGTTCAACTTGGGCACCTTTGGGCTAGGCCTAGGTGAGTGATAAGAATATCGGTAGTTGCATTCAAATAATCAAAGTAATATGACAACATAAACTGCTTGTAAGCTGATCAAAACATAGCCGATGAAATCAAGTAATCACAATCACTTTATACATAAAACATCGTCGAAGAAACGGACATACGCGGGGTCATTTTTCACGAAAACCTTACCTTGTCTTACCCGCACAAAGGTCAAAGTTAATAGGACATGATTGCAAACCAAACCAAAACATAACAAAATATGGTGTCTAACAATATTGACTGGCACATTTTTAAAGTTTTTACGGCTGAAAATGGAAGTTAAATTGCACATATACCTGTCCAAATGCGACATATATAGTGGGTGTGACGGAGTATTATAGGAAAATGGCGTGCAACAAGACACCGCCGAAAGCATGTTCTTTTCCACACAGTTACCGATCACACACAATACCTAATTTTCGAGGCCGATTTTTGGCAGTTAAAATACTCCAAAAATTGTCCTTACTAATTTGTATAGTATATCAAGCATCTAAGTATATAAAACTAGTAATAAAAATTTAAAATATAACGTTTTACCTTCAAATTCAGCACAAATATGAACAAATACTTCTCAGAAATTTACAGCAAACGGGTCAGGGTTCGTGACCTTCTTCTCCAAACGCTTCTGTGCCGCTCTAACGTGATTGGACAAAATACCATAATATAATCGAACGCCTTCACTTTCCATTGATTGGTTGAAAAAATACCCCCCGCGACGTTCATTATCTCCTCTTTCTACAATTATAATTTACATTCTATATAAATAATATTTATATATTTCTTTTATCATCATATAGATTTTAAAATAATTAAGTTTATGAAAAATATATATTAAAAATTTATTAAATCAAAAACTGGTTGCTATATGCTTTGTAATTTATAACTAGCAAACGATGTGTCCATTGTAAAAATGTCCACACATGTATAGAGGGCGCGAGACTCAATTAAGTCACGCACACAGTTTAATTGAAAAATAAAATAACTGAACACTTTGGACGGTCAAATCCAGAGGCCTATCGATATTTTGAGTTACAGAATTTAGTTATTGTGAGAATAAATAAAAGGATACTTGATATTGGTAATAATAGTATATAACTATAATTATATGATTTTTCATTTGTATAATAATATCGTAGGCTACAGGATGATATAAAAATAAATATTTAACAATATGAAATTATATATTTATACAGTATTTATAATTATAGTTTCCGTTCCTTGGCACGTACTGGCCAAAGACATTTATTTCAACTTTTATATAAGGCCTTCGGCCCAAATAGAATATAATAGCTATTTACAGAGGGGATGATCACTTCTACGTTTAAATGAGTGATAAAGAAATTTACATAAACAACTTATTGTATTAATATCAGTAGTGGACATTAATTGAGTAAACTTAACTTTGGATGGATTAACAATAAAATACTTGAATATATAATGTTTACGAATATCAGTGTAACAAGGGCAAATTAAAGTAAAATGGTACTCATCTTCAACTAAATTTAATGTACAATGTTTGCATAATCTATTTTTTTTATCAATTTTTGACCCGGCATCTACCTGTTTCAATTTCTAATTCAAGGACTCCTAAACGCAACTTAGTAAGAATACGTCTATAATTAAAAATTTTTATATGTATTAAGTATAGTTCGATTGTAAAATTATATTTAAATGTCACATAATACTTAAGTCTGGAAAATAAATGAATTTGTTCATGAAAATTTTGACGTTCAATATCAGTTAGACGAGTAGTTATTTCAGATATAAAAGCAACATTGTTCTCAACATAATTATAATAATCCTAAAATAATATTATACATTTTAAAATAAATTAAATTCCATCAGTCTAAATCAAAATTATATTATTCTTTATTATACTAAAAACAAAAAGGTAAAGAGAGTATCTAAAGTGTCATTAAAATCAGGATGCCAAAAATTAAATGAACTATAAATGATTTATAGTTCATTTAACAATCAAATGGAGCTTGGTGAATCCTTTTCAATAAGTTATTTAAAATATCGCACAGTCTATCTGTTATGCAATTGAACAATTCCAATTGATCTAAGCTACAGGACTTATTACTGTCATTAACTTTAAACATTTCCGAATCACCCTCAATTGCAATTCAGCCACACTTAAAAAGATTAAACATGCACAGCGCCTCCGGTCTCGACGTCCAGTGATTGGCGCTTTATGAACAACTATTTATAATTCAGTAGTCTATATAATATATATATATATATATATATATATATATATATATATCAGTAGGTAGACGCACACAAAATAAACTGCTACGATACTTTGACTTGTAGGAGACGGAAATATTTTATTTGCGAAATTTTCGGCAACTCCTGTTACCTTCGTCAGCGCATGAGTATCAATGAAAAACTTAACAGAATACATAAGAATATACAATGGGTGATTAATCACCAGATTTATAAACAATAGGTTACATAGTCTTATCACTAGCAATAGTTTATAAGGAGGCCTTAAGTCAGACATAAGCAAATTGGCATAAATAACTGGTCAGAGTGACAAAACTAATGAATGGTAAACAAGGAAATAGGCCTATAAACAACAAAAATATGATGATAATAATATAATAATGTCAAATAAAATGTCAAGTGGACACATAACTATCAAAAAAGGCATGAAGAAATATATAATATATGATATAAAAATATAAATGATGAATAAGGGAAAATAAAACGAATAAATAAAGTGAGTATAAAAAAAACCAAAAACTGTGAAATAGAAGAGATAAATAGACTAGATGGATAAAAAAATTTTAAAAATTTAAAAGGCAGCGGTAGACTATGATCGTTAAGTGATTAACAATAGATTAAATAGCGAAAGATAAATTAATATCGTGGATACACGATGGTGTGGATTGCACTATGGGCTGTTTTTTTAGGAGGAATTTGTTAGCGTGTCTGCAAGCTGTGACGAGTTCATTTCGCCTATTTAAGGTGGCCATGGGGGACTTGCAAATGATGAAATAGTTTTCCCATTGGCAAAAATTGCATCTTTCGGATGCTGGGTTGTATGTTTTGGCTTGTTTAAGTGTTTTCCATTTAAGCGTATAGTCCATATTATTGTCCTTTAATTCCTAAATATATTTACTCAGTTTCAGTTTTCTTGGGTTAGATTTCTGAATGACGCTGTGTGGTTGTTATACCTGGTCTTGAACGCGTTTTCCGTGAGTGCTACGTACGTTTGGTCTGGTTTGTTGTCAGCTGAGACTGTGGCTTGATACGCATTCGTTTAGGCAATTGCCAGACATATATAGGCC